TCCATCCTTCCTTCCTCCCTTTTTCTCTCTTCCTTTCTTTTTTCTTTCCTCTTTCCCTTCCTTCCTTCTTTCCTGCCTTCCTTTCTTCTTTGCTTGCTTGCTTGCTTCTGCTCATAGAATAAGTTTATTTAAGGCATTATAATGCAATGAAATCACCCTTTTTCACATCTTTAGAAATTTGCTTTGCTTTCATTTCCTTTGGGGAGCTGGGTAAAGGGAAGTGGGAGGATATTTTTTCCTTATTGAAAAGGAAATCTAATCAAAATAAGAGAAAAGACTAGTGATGTGGACAGGCCATTAGGTTATTTGATTTGAAAAAAAAAACCCTAAATCACCAATATAAAAATTAAAAAGAATTGATCACACAGATAAAGAAGCAATAAAGGAAAGCATTACAAATGATTTTGTCCAAATGTATGAGTATTTGAAACATTTCTATTAAAAAAACTGACAACTTAAAATAAATAGCTGCATATTTCCAAAAAAATAGAATAGATTAACACATCAAGAAATAAGAGAAATTACACAATAAAATCTCACAACAAGAAACTGAATGGATTCCCAGAGAAAAACTCCAGGACCAGATGGCTTGATTTACTATTAAAAAAAATGTTCATTTTCAGTTCCTAATTCTCTCCCTTTTTCCAGTATCTACCCCTACCCATTGAGAAAGTAAAAAGTATGATACCTATCATACATACAAAGTCAGAAAAAACATATTTCCATATCAGCCATATTTTGAAAAACAAAAAACAAAGCTAAGGAAAAAAGGACAAAATATGTATAGATAATTCTCTCTTTAAGTGGACTGTAGGCTGTGCCAAGATGGCAGAGTAAAAGCTGTGACTTGCTTGAGCTCTCCCCCAAACCCCTCCAAATACCTGTAAAAAATGGCTCTAAACAAATTCTTAAGCAGCAGAACCCACAAAAAGACAGAGTAAAACAAATTTCCAGCCCAAGATAACCTGGATGGTGGATTGTAAAGGTATAGCACACCTTTTGGGGAGAAGAAAAACTCCAGAACCAGATAGTTTTATTTACTATTAAAAAACATTCTTCATCTTCAGTTCCAAATTCTCTCCCTTTTTCTAGCCCCTACCCCTACCCACTGAGAAGGTAAAAAAATATACCTATCATACATACAAAGTCAGAAAAAAAACATTGCCATATCCATATTTTGAAACAAAAACAAAGCTAGGGGAAAAACAAGGAGAAAAATGTATAGATAATTCTCTCTTGAAGTGGACTGCAGATGTCTGCATGAAGCAGTTTTTAAGTACTGTGCATTTGTCTGCTCACGTGAGGAAGGGAGGGAGATAGATAGGAAACAGGCCACTCACCTGTGGAAGGAGGGGGCCCAACACATGATTCAAGTCACTTGGGGTCCTGGGACAGAGAAGCAAAAGCAGGAGGACCTGGGGTTAGCCACGTGCAGGCCCCAAGCAAGAAGAACTCCTGGGGCAGACAGGTGGAGCAAGGGCAAAGGTCTCCTCTCTCCCCAAGGACTCAAGTCAAGCCACTGTTCCAGAGGCAGTGCTGGTGGTCTCTGTGCCTCTGTTTTTCTGCTTTCACTTGGAAGGTTCTTTGTATGTGTGTTTGTTTGGTGGAGGGCTTTGAGGCTGTGGAGCATGGGACCCATTTGAGGGGCATGAGTGACAAGAGAGAGAGAGAGAGAAGAGAGAGGAAGAAGTACTTTATAGCAAAGTTAACTTGGGTGTTCTTTTGGAATGATTTCTTTCAGAATTTTTTATGTATGTGTATTTTGTGAAAGAAGAAACTGCTTGTAGGAGGAAGGGAAGGAGATCTGGACGCTGGCCCTTAGAAATAGTTAACACTCCTTTCTTTTAACCTTGAGATACTTCCAGTCTGCTCTTTGGGCTTCTAGGCCCAAGGTATGGTGATTACTTTTCTAATATTGTGAGGGCACCTGTCTTCCCTGATTATATGACCAAGCCACCTTTTCTTTATTTGTTCCCTGGTGAATATCTTTTGTTCTGGGTTTTCTTTGAAAGCCTCTCAATGGTTAGTTCTTGCAGCTGGCTTACACCCATGGGCAGCTAGGTGGTAAAGTGGATAGAATGCTGGGACAGGAAGATCTGAGTTTAAATATGGCCTTGGATACTTACTAGCTGTCTGACACTGGGGAAGAAACTTAACCTTGTTTGCCTCAGTTTCCTTTTCTATGAAATGAGCTGGAAAAGGAAATAGCAAATCACTCCAGTATCTTTGCCAAGAAAACCCCAAATAGAGTCACAAAAAAGTAAGACATGAATGGACAGCAAAAAATCCAGGAGCCTTTCCACCAGATCACATGTGAGGCAAGTTATCCATTATCCTTTTGATCACATACAGTTCTATCCTTATGTCACGAAAGCAAACTGCTTCATTTACCTGAGGAGGGAAAGTGCTCAGAGTCTGATCTAACAGTTGTCTTACTGAGGTTGAAAACAGCTTTCTTCATGGGGCAGTTCCTACCAGCTCAATGAAACAATGCAACTCATATAAAGCAGTAAACAGGAAGGATTCTCTGTTGAGTCATTGGCCATGATATCTGCACTGAGGCAACCTCTCCCAAAGCAAGCACGAGTAGGGCAAGAACATAACTTCAGGGTTAGCTAAGGGACATTTAGAATAGGCTGGAGCTCATCCTTAGCCCAGGTGTATCCAGTCAATGGGAAAGAAGAGAGTGTGAAGGTAATAGACATCTGCTCTCTTGCTTCTAACTACATGGGGATAAAAAGACAATACAAAAGGAAAGCAAGCTAAGCTGGTTCCTACAGTTATCTCAAGACAATCCACCCAATCTAGTAGGCCTATAGTAGGCCTTCCTAGGCCTTCAATGCAGAGTTCCTACAGAGCTCTAGGTGCAGGGAGGTGGGGCTGGTTACAAGATGTGACCTGGATGAAGCAAGGAGACTGAAAAGAACAGTCAAAGTCTGCCCCGAATACTATTATAATATGTCTCTTTGTCCCAGCGATACCACTATCCCCAACAGATTAAGGAAAGAGAGATGTTTTGGGTGGCAGAGCCCAGATGGTAGAGTAAAAGCAGGGTCCCACTTCAGTTCTCACCCAAACTCCTCCAAATACCTGTAAAATGACTAAACACATTTTAGAGCAGCAGAACCCACAAAAAGACAGAGTGAAACAAATTTCCAGCCAGTTACAACCTGGAAAGTTGAGAGGAAAGGTCTCTTGCACCAGGCTGAGAGAGGAGCCCAGTCCAGTGCAAAATGCACCAGCACAGCCAGACCCAAGAAAACCAGGAACAGGCCTCAGGGGACTGAATTGCTGGCAGCTGTGGTGGTTTGCAGACTTTTCACCCACAAACGCCAAAAATAACTTAGTAGGGCAGTAGGAGAAGTCTCTCAGGACTGGGTGAGAGAGCAGCACAGTCAAGCCCTGTCCTTCAAACAGCCCCGGGGCAGTAGGAGAAGCAGCGGCAGTTGGCAGTGGTGGCAGCAGTGGCAGTGGCTGCTTCTGCAGCTCTCAGCCCAGAGACAGTAAGGGATTTGAGCAACTGATCAGAAGAAGGTTAGAGTGATCTTTTTACTGGCACTGAGCCAGGATTCTGTTGCTGTCCCCAAACTTGCATCGGGGTGGCAGTCTTGAGGTGAGGAGGAACACTGGCATAACAGAACTTGTGGCAGCAGTGGAGAGGGAAGTCTTCTCACAGAGCCAGGGCAGAAAAGAGTGCTTATGGTGACTCAGAGACCAGAGCTTAGCGCAGGAAAGGAATAAACACCTCTCCTTAGATCATACCACCTCAGAAGAACAAAAATCTTACAGATCCCTAGACTCATCACAGAAAACAGCTGCAGAAAACTCCTAAAGCTTCAGACAGTATGCCCTCCACACTGGAAGCAGAGCCCCACCTTAATAAAGAGTTAAAATGTCAAGTAATTGGCTGGAAAAGTGATCAAACAACTCCAAAAAGTTCAAGAGTATAGAAACTTACTTAGGTGACAAGGAAGATCAAAACATATACTCAGAAGAATACAAGAAAGTCAAAGCTCCTATATCCAAAGCCTGGTAGGCTTGGGGCTTTGGTTGGTGATTTTGCGACAAGGTGCCGATGCAACTTTTTCAGCCCCCCTGTCATATGGTTAGGTTTTTATCCACAGCAGCCTAAGTATTAGCTGTATTGCTTTGAGGCCTTGAGGATGACTCCAACCCAGCATGGAGGAGAGAGGGCTGAGAGGTGATATTGAGGTCCAAGTAGATGGGCATTCAAAGACTCCTACTGGGCAAGATGGGGTGGCACAGAATGTATGACTTATGGGAGTGGAATCTAGAAAGGGGCATCAGACCAGCTGCCTTGGCCACTGGAGATTTGCCTCTTCCTGTCCTTCCTGCCAAGTGGGCAGCCCATCTTCAGAGAAACCAGTGGGTTGACCTTCCTTGGCCAAGAAGACATGTGGCTTCTTGCTTTTAAGGAGAGATCTTCTCGATTTCACAACTGGCAGAGAGACTCATTAGGGTCTGTTCCCCAGACACAAGCATCATTTTGATAAAAGCAGTAACACCAAGAATAAAGATTATGGCACAGGCTCTCCAAAATCAAGTTGGGTTAGTACAGTTGGTTTCCTAGTGTAGACAGAGTGGGAACCAAGGTGAGATCCCTACAACCTGGTCTAGTATATAATCTGAGTACAGGGTTGAACCCTGATCTACTTCATCTTCCACTTTATCCTAAGGCTGGAAGAGCCTCCCATTTGTATCAGCGCCCTGTACTCAAAATGTTTCTTTGCAATCCTTGACAATTTAGAGATCCCTGAGGAGGCATTGAACTTGGAGCTCAGTGAGCAGGCAGATGGGAACACTCAAGGCCTGCCTTGGAGGGTCTTCTGGATGTGTCAGGGTCCTGGGGAGCTTATCACTTGTCCATTTACTCATCTGTAATATGAGTTTGATTATCTTTAAGAGCTATGATCACGAAATGAAAAAAAAGAACTCCATCGAGGGCTGTTACTCATGAAGCCCATTGCCTAAGGGTCAGGGTATCAGCTGGTTAGCTTGGACCAGGACAGAGTTCTTGCATGTGACTCCAATGACCCTCTAAAAATATCATAGATCTGGGTAGTGTTGGGGGGTGGTAGCAACTAAAGACTTGGAAAAGAAAGTGGTACTTTCCCTCAAGGGTAAATCTATGGGGAGAAGGAAAATGTATGTTTGTGAAGCAACCTTCATCACAGGCCAAGTGTGAAAATCCCAGATTCAATAAAGACATGCTAAGGGGAAGATCCAGAATGGAGGCAGCAGAGAGTGGGGGCACCACTTCACCAGTGAAGCCTCCTTCAGGATCCTTTGGAGAGAAGCTTTCTTGGCCAAGCTGAGCCACAGATGAGCTCAGGCATGAGGCTGGTGGACTTGGGCCTAGTAGGCAGCCATCATCAATGTGTCTTGGAGCCACATTAGAAACACTTTAGGAGAGTGCCTCTCTGTGCAAGCCCAGCTTCTCTTTTGGAGGTCTAAGTCTGGGGCATTTTGTCAGTCCTTTTCAAGACCCCGCCCCCATCAGTCCCTTCTTGCGGGCTCCCAGAAAATAGCATCAAGTCACCCAGTCAGTAAACACCGCTTCTCATTCTTTTTTCCTTCTTTTGGGAATTTCTAGAATTACTCTACAATGAAACACTTTGAAGATGTCACAACATAGAGAACACCTGAGACTTCCATAGCAGGATAATGATGATAGAGTTAGTAGCAGCAGCAGTGGAGGGAGTTCTCCTGTGGCTGGCCAGCACACCAACTTCAAGGACAGTCCCCACAGGTAAGCCCAGCCAGAGCGAGCCTAAGCTGCCTTGCAGATCACAAATACCCAGGGCAGCCACGGGCCTTGGCAGCTTCCGTGTGCACTTTTCTTTCCTGCCCGAAGTTTTGGTGGAGACAGTGTTCTGTTTTCTTTCCCACAAACGTGAGAATTTCCTGTCCCCAGCAACATCTCTCCCTCTTCTACCCCAACCTGGCCTACTGCTACCTTCACTCTCTGAGAACAGGAACTAGGGAGGGGCAACTTTGAGCATGGAGAAGGCCAGGAACCCTGAGACCTGAAGCTGGGCAGGGAACAACCCCTCTCAGCCATGGATCTCTTCTCCCTAGCCTCAGAGCCCTTGGTTCTTAGAGTCAGCTGCAGGGCCAGCAACAGCACAGGAAGCTACTAGGGTGAAGGTCCTGTGAGTGTGCAGACAAGTGCATGTGGCTCTTGGCTCCTCTCACACCTCATCATGGTTGTTTAATTTGGGAAGAGGCCCTCCCTGGCCCAGGGGAGCTGTGCTTTTCTTGAATCCTGACTCCAATATGAAAAAAAGTATTCATCTGGTTAAGGAATAAGAACGGGACCAGAGGGCTTTGGATATCATTTCTTTTCATACTGCAAGTCTCCAGGAAAGTCTCATTCCCATCCTGGCCTTCCCCTCTTCCTGTCTTTCTCACCCTTCCTCTTTTTCTCCCTCTTAGCTTTGCTTCTCATACTTGGTGTCCCCTAGGAGGAAATCCAGAAGTGTGAAATGCCTCTCAACTGCTGCTCACCTAGGAAAGTGCCCTATAACATTGGTGGTTGCTGCTAAGGATACTTCTCTGAGGATGACTGTGCATGTAGGCATCACTTCCTTCCCTTGGAGCCCCATTCCTCAGGCACTACCCTGCTTACTTTAAAGGGTATCCCATAACTGGGGGGACGTGTATGTCTCAGATAAAAGGAAAAGAGAATGCTGCAGTCTGGCTCCAGATAGGGATTTTCAGGGTGGGAGGGCTCAAGCCTCAGCATGGTAATGGGGCATTCTTGAGGCCTACTTGTCTCTCCTTCTGGGTGGATCCTCATTTCTTCCTTCCCTGCCGAGCGCTCACTTATGGACCAGCCTGCCTTGGCATCCACATTCAGGAATGCTGCCTTCCAAGTTGGCCCTTTCTTGTGGATGGTGATCAACTTTTGAGGTCCTGCCAGTGAGTGGGCACAGTGACCAGGAGAGTCCCTACAGTGCACCTAAAAGAGCTTCCTCATTCCTATGCAGGGGCACACTGGGCATAGGGTGCACTGACTCTAGGACACTGTGTGAAGATGGGCTTATTACGAAGGATCTGTAAGCACAGCTAAAGAACTTTGAGAGGATCTGAGAGCAGAATAGCAAGAAGGGGCAGCAGAGTGGACAGGCTGGGAGCAGGATAGCTCTGGGACATGATGGGCTTGCAGGGTGAAGCCTTTGAATCCCTCTGCTGGGACTTTTGCAGGTTGGCTCTTTGGCCTGCTCTGCTGGTGCCTTGATAACACCTGATGGTGCCTGACCACAGCTGCCTCCCTGCAGGACATCTTTGTCTTAACCAGGTCAGTGAGGCTTCCCTGGGGCCTGCCAGAATCAAATACCCACTGCTCCAACTGACTTCACAGTCCTTGAGATCAATTTCCCCTTAGACTTTGCCCAATTAATAAAACAAAAGAAAGGCAAAGAAAGAAAATTCATGAGGCACCAGATGAAAAGGGTGACTGAGTGACCTAAAGAGAAGAAGAAAGGGGCTGAACTGGGAAGACACATAGATGATGGGGAATGGGAGTAGAGCAGATTTTTTCAAAGATAACATCATATGCTTTTGAAATATAGGATCGACTAGCAAAGTGCATGCTGATTTGCTTGCCTAGTGGCAGTCAACCTTCCTATATAGGTCTGTCCCCCCGAGTTCTCCTTCCCTTCCCCTTCTACTCTTTTTAGAGAAATGGGCCCTGCCCACTGAGCCTCACCACCTGGCCAGGGACATGTGGCTCAATTCTGGCCTTGTCTCCTCCTTTTGCATCTCAGCTGCCTTGACGAGGGTAGCCCCCCACAGACTGTGGGCTGGGCTCGGCAAAAATGCCGACCTTCCCTGTGCTATCTTGGCTTTGCCCCTGTGCTGTATGAAGACTAAGGTGTGGAGAGGGGGACCTTCTGCATGCTGGGCCTCCTTTGTACCTCCTGGGGAGGTTGCTGACCCAGCCTTTTGCCCTGAGATCTCTTAGCTCCTTTGACATTTCAACCTTGGAAACCCTGGCTTCCCCAGGTCAGGCCCTCATCACTCTCTCCTGGGTCACTGCAGCAGACTCCTGAGTGGGCTCCCTGCCTCCAATCAGTTCTGCATTCTGCTCCCAAAGGAACTTTCCGTAAGCACAGAGCAGATCAGGTGACTTCCCTACTCAGCCAAATCTAGGGGATCCCCTTTGCCTCCAGGGTAAAATCATCCTACCCTGTCTTTCTTGCCTTAGCCTCAATGCCACTCAGTCGTCCTTCCACACTTGGTGACCCTGCCAAAATGGCTGCCCCATGCTGAGAATTCATTCTGCCTTCCCGTTCCACATCCAGTTCTGCACCTCTACACCCAAGCTGGTGTTCTTTCTTCCAATCAACCTATCAATGCACAGATATTTTTTAAGCACTTACTATGTGCCAGGTCCTGCCTAGGGCATATGGGTACAAAGAATGAAAATTCCCGGTGCAGGGAACTTACATTCTGAGGGGGAGGCCACAATAATGTGTGCAAAAATGCCAACAGCATCAATGTAAAATGAAGAAATACTCACACAGTAGTTCAATACCTGGTGGTTTGGAATGTTCTTGTCTCCTCCATCAGGATGGAAGCTCTCTGTGGTTAAGAATGGTTTCCTTCATGATGCTGGTGTTCCCAGCACCCAGCCCTGGGCCAGGCCCAGGGCCTGGAGCTACTGCAAGGGGCCAGCGGAAGCAGAGGTGGGAAAGGCCTGAGCCACGAAGAAACTGACTGTCCTGGAGGGCCTGGTGAGCCAACAGGAACCTGCCCTGAAGGAAGACTTCCGAAGGGACACCACTGCCCACATCCAGGTGAGGAGAAAGCTGGAGCAGCCCACCTGTTCTCCTGATAAGACCAGGTCACCAGGACCGGCCTTTCTAGATTTGATCCCAAAGTGCCCAGGGAGGGCAGGGAAGTCTTGAGCTGAAGCAGTACTCCGGGATTGCCACAGCCTGCAAAGTTCTCTGCGTTTTGTTGAATGCCAGTCTCCATTTCTGTGCTCCCCAGGAAGACCTGACCACCCTCAGGGCAGAACAACACAGTAGATTTTGATCACATCTTAAAGAAGATTCCTAGGGCCTGCCAGGTAATCCAGAAACGCAGCTGTTTCTGGAAGCAGAGACAGTCGGGGTGGGCATCTTGGAGGAGGTTGTTTTTGGCTGAGTCAGCATCCTTGAAAGGTTGCTGCTGCTCTCAGGGGCCTGGAACTAGGCTATGAGGTTCTGCTGGAAATTCCTTACTTGTCTAGGAGCATCTTAGATTGACAGAGACTCTGCTCTCGCTGAGAGATGGCCACTTGCTACCAGAGCCATCTAAGGACTCTGGGCCCCCTTCTCTGAAGGTTGTGTATGGAGCTTACTGACCTCAAAGCAACCTAGGCCCCCTTCTGTAGCTCCTGACAGGCTCTTGCTGCCCTCTGGGCTCCTGAATGACAGCAGTGATGACTGGAACCTTACTTCTTTACTGGAGTCCCCCGTCATCTCCAGGAGGTTGTCCAAAGCTGCCCCAAGATGCTCATAGAGTCCCCTGCTTGCTCACACTCGCCTGCTGGAATCAAAAAGAAGCTCCCTTAGACGTGACTACCTATATCCATCCCAGCAAGTAAGGTCTCATTACATTCAGTCAAGGTCTGACCAAACTGATAGTGCAGGGGGGAAATAGAAGCTCAAAGGCACCTGCAGTGCAAGGTGCCAGAGGATAAAGGCAGAGACTATGGGCTGTGCTTACACTAAGCGGGGGGCCCGAGGTTTGAAGGAGGTGAGTGCCCTGCCTGGGTAGGAATACTGATGGGCCAAGTGGCCCACACTGGCTCTTGTAGAAAAGACAATGCAGGAGATGGGGGACCCAGGCAAGGGGCTTCGTGGTCAGGCCTGAGGGATCAAATGCCACTGTCAAGATAATGAAATGACCATCCTAATGCTGGGGCTGGGCCCCTTTCAGATTCCCAAGCTACTTGGGAACCACTTCTCCCCCAAAGACTCCAGCATCCCTGGTCTCCTTCAAGACTCACCAGCTCACCCATGGTAGGAGGCCATTAATGGCCCTACTGAACCCAGGGCCTCCTTCCTTTATACTACACACGTCCTGGACATGCCCGGTTACTGGTATTAGACTGGGAACTCCTGGAATCCAGAGACTAGGGTTTTGCCTTTCCTCATATTCCAGGGGCTGAGCACTGCAGCAAACAAGCCCTTAATAACTGCTTTTTAGCTCATTATCTCACTGGATCCTGGAAACAATCTTGGGAGTGAGAGCCCTACAGGTTAATTACCTGAAGGGAGCGCGATAGGATGGTCAAAGGGCTGGGAGATGGCAGAGTATATTAGCCACAAGTCAAATCTACTTAGGTGAGAACAAAGCCACATCCCCAAGACAAGGTGGGGCTAGGATATGTGGGCTGCAGTTCACCAGACAGGCTGGAGGACTTCAGCAGACTGCAGATTCCATAGCAGCCAAGTGTGATATGGCAGCCCAGAAAAGGAGGTGGCCTTTGGCATGAATCCAGAGTCAGAGAGAGACAGAGACAGAGAGGTAGAGACAGGAAGAGACAAAGAGAAAAACTAAAAGATGAAGACAAGAGAGAGAGAGGAAGGAAGACAGAGACAGAAAGAGGAGAGAGAACAAAGAGATAGAGACACAGACACGGAGACAGAAAGAGAGAGAGAGAGAGAGAGAGAGAGAGAGAGAGAGAGAGAGAGAGAGAGAGAGAGAGAGAGAGAGAGAGAGAGAAGAGAAGAGAAGAGACAGATAAGGAAAGGAAGAGAGAGATGGACACTGTCCAGGATTATGGAGGTGGGTAGCATCAAATAGTGCCAATCTCCTGGCCAGACAACATCTGGCATGGAAAGCTCTGGGAGCCACCATTTGGAAGGACACTGCACCATATTGTAACATGAGAGCTGCCTCCAAATGCCAGAGGACTATTACACGGAAGAGAGGGGCCAAGTTGTTCTGGGCAAAGCAGGGAGGGTGAAGACCTGCAGACTTGGCCTCAGGCCGGGGGTGGGGGGTGGAGATGGGGAGGGGAGTTTGGGAAAAAGTGGTGCAGTTGAAGTGTAGGCTGGTCCCCAGGGCCTCTGAGAGCCCTTCCAGTGCCCAGAGTCTGTGAAAGGTAGGGGGTGAGCATTAGCTGTCTCTGTCCCAGTGAGGAAGCATCTCCAGGAAGAAGCAGGAAGCACAGGACTGGGTCACTTCAGGCTCATTGTGCTCAACAGCAGTCCCAGAAAAGGTTAGACCTGAAGACCAGAGGGGATGGGAGTCCTCAGGGCAGAGCTTTTGATCTGAGGCATCAGGGATAGAATGAAGACATTTCAGCCTCAGGGAATTGCCACCATGAAATGATTTCTCTACTGTCTCTAGCCCTTAATCCCCTTACAAGCCAGTACAGGTGCATGGATATGCATTGGAGGATAGGTACAGGTATAGGGTGGAAGACACCAGAGAAGTCTCTTTGAAGTAAATGCAGGGGGAGAGTCTGGGCCAGGGGCCCAGCTCTTTCAGAAATATCTCTGCCCCAAGTTTTCTTCCTCTGGTGGTGATAGCGATCAGACTTCTCAAGACCCACCTAGCAGTCACTGGGGTGGGAGAACCCCAGAAAACAACTGTCACAGCCCCTTCCATTTAGTCCCAAATAGAAGACTCTCCATCCTTTTATAAAAATGGAGAAAAACACCAAATAAGACCAGGACCACCCTCATTAAATAAAGACCAAAGTCACATTCTATACCATGTGACCAATCCTAGAAAGTCAAAGGTTTCACTTGAGGCAAGAGATAAGAGACAGCACCAATCATCTCCAGATTGGTTTCAGCTGCTACAACACCACTTTTGTGACTTGTTATGTTCAAAGGATCAACACTTCTGAGCTAGAAGAAGCCTCCAGGATCACTGAGTTCAAGGCCCTCATCTGACAGATGGAAAAAGTGGGGCCTGGGGAGATGAGGTTGTCATGGGAATATCAGGCAGTATTTCTTCTGACATGGCTCCTTCTCTAGGCTTCCTCTCCCAAGCATTAGAAGCTGCAGAGTCCATCACATAAGGCAGGGGCGTGTAGGCAGGAGAAGGCAGTAGGAAGGAAACCTTTCCAGGCTCCTGCAGGGTCTTGGGAACAGCCTGAGCCATCATGGTAACTCACACATGTCTTGGGCTGGCTGTCCCTCCATCCCCAGGGGCTACTTTCTTTGCCCAGGAACTCTTCATCCAGACAGATCCCAGTCCTCCTACGGATCTGGCTCTTCTTTCAGTGCAAAAAAGGAAATAGTTTTGCACAAACGTTTTTCTACGTGCTGGGCTGAGTGCACCTCCTAGCACTCTCCCCCCAGCTCCCAGCTCCCTCCTGGC